GCCAACTCTACGGACGAGAGGAAGACCCGACTCCATACTCAAACCACCTACTCATTATGCGACTGGGATATCCATACCCGCGTGTTATGTGCCGTCTTGAGCAACGTGCTTGTGCAATATCGGTGGTCCGGGCGGGCATCAAAGTGATACCCATGTCGCTACTTTGCCGAGACGGGACCCTTGACAAGACGAGATGCACAAAGCCATCATGTTTGTAATTCGATATTGTAGAGTTTGCTGGATGTTTCCATGACAAGTGGCAATTGAAGCGGGACTCGGCCAAATACGAATTGCTGCCTGTTGACGAGAATGGTCGAGGCAAAGAAAGAGAGTACCGTGGCGGACTCAACTTGTCACGGAAATGAGACGAGCCCCGGATTTACAGCCTGGTCCATCTTGCACTGGATCTCAGACGATCCTCACCGTCCAAGGTGAGCGCGGGTGCAGGTGGTCTCAGTCTCACAATGGAACGAGCGCTAAGAGGACGCCAACAAGCACGGCCAGCACGGCCAGCACGCACGCAGCTGGCCGAGAGACGCAGCCGGGGAAGTCAGCGAGTGAGTGAGTGAGTGTCGGTGGAGGCGGGCGCGATTGTTTGCGCGGCCCTAGCTGCCTGCCTTTGATCCGCCAGCCTTCCATTGACCTCCGTCCTAGCTGGGGCGAAAAGCAAAGCAACTGAATGCAGGAACTCTATGCGTGGCGGTCTGTCTAACAAGGTGCAGGTGGTGGTGACAGAGAGTGGCCAAGCAAAGCACCGAGATTTTGCACGATTGTGGCTGTTACGAGAACCCGGAAAATGAGATTGGTGATGCTGAGACAGTAACAGTGCAGGAAAGTAATTGCTAGTGTAAATAGAAGCTTCTTTGGGCTTCTACATGCTTTGTCTTGCACGGCAAAGCGAGAGACAACTGTAGTCGTCACTCTGAGTGTGCCTGTTGCTACCTACCGCCTCGCGCCCGTGCCCATGTCTGCTCGCTGCATCATAGTGCCAGCCTGGGGCGCCCCACCATCCCACGGCTGAGCTAAGCTGTTTCTGGCACCTGCATCAATATTGTTCCGCCCCGAATCAGGGCGTTCGGTGATATCATTGGCCCACAGCTCCACGGTCGGCCAGTGAATCGCTGTCAGGTCGATGGCTGCTGGCTGCGCTGCTTGCGGTTCCGGTCCCGAAGGAAGGTGCCCTGTGGCCTTTGAACAGCTCGAACCTTCGTTTCGTTGCCTCTGGCCTCAAACCTCGAAACGACTTTTCTTCCTACAACTCACAACTTACTTCTCAACATCAACCTCCCACCCTTCCCTTCTTCCCTCCTCCACTTCCATATCTTCCCTCTCCCCGTCTCTGAAGCAACAGCCATCGACTGGCTTTCTCCACAACACTTCCAGCTTCCCCTCCTCTCGTCATCAAGCGAGCCAGCAGCAGCTTCACCTGAAGCATCCAGACAATCATCATGGCTCCCCAGCCTGACGAGCACCACCACAAGAAGGTCAACTTGACGTACGTCCTTACTCACCAACTCATCAAGTCATGGCGCCTGCCATGATGCGAGCAGGAACAATAGCTAACCGGCGACAGCGATCCCTCCGGCGCGGAGATCAAGCACGTTCGTACCGCTTAATCTTGTCGACACCCCGCACAGATAGCTGACCGTTACTAGGAAGATGACACCGCGACCGCGATCCTCAAGAAGAAGAAGAAGCCCAACCAGCTGATGTAGGTGACGAGCACTCGCGGGTGCGCATGCAATGACTGACATGATCCAGGGTCACCGATGCCGTCAACGATGACAACAGCATCATCGCCCTCTCCGAGGCCACTATGGACTCGCTCCAGCTCTTCCGAGGCGACACCGTCCTTGTCCGAGGAAAGAAGCGAAAGGACACCGTCCTCATTGTCCTCGCTGATGATGAGCTTGATGATGGCAGCGCTCGCATCAACCGAGTCGTGCGCCATAACCTGCGGGTCAAGCACGGTGACATGATCACTATCCACCCTTGCCCCGATATCAAATACGTCAGTTCCCCCTCATCAAGGGCACATTGACTTGTTGCTAACAACCCTGCAGGCCAAGCGAATTGCTGTCCTCCCCATCGCTGATACCGTCGAGGGTATCACCGGTTCTCTCTTCGATGTTTTCCTCGCCCCCTACTTCCGAGAAGCATACCGCCCTGTCCGACAAGGAGACCTCTTTATCGTCCGCGGTGGTATGAGACAAGTCGAGTTCAAGGTTGTCGAGGTCGATCCTCCAGAGTACGGTATCGTGGCACAAGACACCGTCATTCACTGCGAGGGCGAGCCTATTCAGCGAGATGAGGAGGAGAACAACCTCAACGAGGTTGGCTACGATGACATTGGTGGATGCCGAAAGCAGATGGCCCAGATCCGAGAAATGGTCGAGCTTCCTCTCCGACATCCCCAGCTTTTCAAGTCCATCGGTATCAAGCCTCCCCGAGGTGTCTTGCTGTACGGACCTCCCGGTACCGGTAAGACGCTCATGGCTCGAGCTGTGGCTAACGAGACCGGTGCCTTCTTCTTCCTGATCAACGGTCCCGAGATCATGTCCAAGATGGCCGGTGAGTCCGAGTCCAACCTGCGAAAGGCTTTCGAGGAGGCCGAGAAGAACTCTCCCGCCATCATCTTCATCGACGAGATCGATTCTATCGCCCCCAAGCGTGAGAAGACCAACGGTGAGGTCGAGCGACGAGTTGTCTCTCAGCTCCTCACCCTCATGGACGGCATGAAGGCCCGCTCCAACGTGGTCGTCATGGCCGCCACCAACCGACCCAACTCGATTGATCCCGCCCTCCGACGTTTCGGCCGTTTCGATCGCGAGGTCGACATTGGTATCCCCGACCCCACTGGCCGTCTTGAGATTCTCCAGATTCACACCAAGAACATGAAGCTCGGCGACGACGTCGACCTGGAGCAGATTGCCGCCGAGACTCACGGTTATGTCGGTTCCGATGTTGCTGCACTGTGCTCTGAGGCCGCCATGCAGCAGATTCGTGAGAAGATGGATCTGATTGATCTTGATGAGGATACCATCGATGCTGAGGTCCTCGACTCTCTCGGTGTCACCATGGAGAACTTCCGCTTCGCCCTTGGCGTTTCCAACCCCTCCGCCCTCCGCGAGGTTGCCGTTGTCGAGGTTCCCAACGTTCGCTGGGAGGACATTGGTGGTCTCGAGGAGGTCAAGCAGGACCTCAAGGAGAACGTCCAGTACCCTGTGGACCACCCCGAGAAGTTCCTCAAGTTCGGCATGTCTCCTTCCCGAGGTGTGCTGTTCTATGGCCCCCCCGGTACTGGTAAAACTATGTTGGCCAAGGCTGTCGCCAACGAGTGTGCCGCCAACTTCATCTCCGTCAAGGGACCTGAGCTGCTCAGCATGTGGTTCGGTGAGTCCGAGAGCAACATCCGAGACATCTTTGACAAGGCCCGTGCCGCTGCTCCTTGCGTTGTCTTCCTGGACGAACTCGACTCTATTGCCAAGGCTCGTGGTGGCTCCATGGGTGATGCCGGTGGTGCCTCTGACCGTGTCGTCAACCAGCTTCTGACTGGTAAGTAATTGTTGTCAACGATATCAAGCTCAACTGCTAACTTGAAATAGAAATGGACGGCATGACCTCCAAGAAGAACGTCTTCGTTATTGGTGCTACCAACCGACCTGAGCAGCTCGACCCTGCTCTTTGCCGACCTGGTCGTCTCGACTCGCTCATCTACGTGCCCCTGCCCGATGAGCCTGGCCGTCTCAGCATTATCAAGGCTCAGCTCCGCAAGACTCCTATTGCGGCTGATATTGACTTTGGCTACATCGCCTCCAAGACACACGGCTTCTCTGGTGCCGATCTTGGCTTCATCACCCAGCGTGCTGTCAAGATTGCCATCAAGGAGTCCATCACGGCTGATATCGAGCGCCAAAAGGCTCGCGAGGCGGCTGGTGATGAGATGGACACTGATGAGGATGCCGAGGACCCCGTGCCTGAGCTGACCAAGGCTCACTTCGAGGAGGCTATGCAGATGGCCCGACGATCCGTGTCGGACGTTGAGATCCGCCGCTACGAGGCTTTCGCCCAGCAGATGAAGAACGCTGGTCCCGGTGCCTTCTTCAAGTTCCCCGAGGCTGGCGCCGATGCTGCTGGTGCCGACGGTGGCAACTCGTTTGGTGACGCTGGCAATGATGATGATCTCTACGACTAAGGACGGCAACGGCTCTGTGGGCATGGGTCCTTTGTATTCTAATATTTTCTCTCGTACATCTCTGCGTTGGTTGTGAGCAGCCAGTGGGACGGATTCCATCCATACACTATGTCGCAGCCGAAATTGGGCTGGGAGTTGGTAGAAAGGTAGATGCGAGAAGAATGGCAACTTGACTTTGGTAGCCCTCGTGCGTCGTTGTCGCTGTGATGGCCCAATAGGAGAAAGTTGCTCATTGAAGCACAATTGTTTGTTTTGGACTTGATAGATGATGAAATTGATTCCCTTTTGATGAAGATGATTACCTGTTTGTGTATGGTTGACATTCTGCTTGAATGACTCGAGATGATGACTGTAACTCGAGTCATTGTACCCATGGCTTGGTGTTGAGGAGAGGTACGACATGTTGAGTGCCCCAATATGGGATCGTGACATGCACGCCAGCGAGGTTGTTTGATAAACATTCACGGGGTCCTAGTTGTAGATATCAAAAACAAGTCTATTCATTTATCTCATACATGAACTTGGTACTCATGTTTTCTGTGTTGGTATCGATCATGGTCCTTATGCCCTCCCTTTCCTTTCCCACCATTGTGAGCTTGTCACATCCTTGGGCCTACCTGGCCTCTGAAAAGGCGAAACTATGAATGTGTGTGTTTATGATTTCGCAGCACGTTTCATCGCTCGAAGGGGTTCATTTCGACGAATACCCATTCTTCGAGTGCTGGACGCTCGTGCGGTGCTGCTGGATGGCTGGGTTCCTCGCCTTGTTTCTCTCTTGCTCGATCCGCTCCCGAGTCAGCGCCGTCTAGGCAGCCTCGTCGTCCTCGATGTCGCAGATGGCCTCTAGGTGCTCCCTCGTGACGCGCAGGGCCTCGTCGACTACGGATTCTGGTATGGCGAGGCTCGGGGTCGTCTTTGCTTCACTGGAACCGTTGGCCTTTGCTGCGTCGCCGTTGGTGGCGGGTTTTCCGTTGGTGCTTGACGAGACGGGGTTGAGGGCCGAGTCGTGGCGGACGTCGTCGAGGACCCGGCGGAGGAGGGCGGGGAAGGTGGTTACTTCGCCGGAGCGGAGGAGGGCGAGGGCGTGGGATTGGATGGTGGTGGGCCAGTTGGCTGAGTCGGAGTTGAGGGCGTGGAGGAGAGCTTCTTGGATTCTTAGAGTTCAAGTGTGTTAGCCTGATGTCTGCCTGGCGAGGTCAATGCGGAGCAACAACATACTGAGGAACGTGTCCGTCGTGTAGGAGGACCGAGTTGATCTGAGAGCGCAGATCAGGGTCCAGGGTCGCGGCGGTGTAGTTGGCTGCGCTTGATGGCACCTTGACGGGTGTGGAGGGGGCCTTGTTGGACATTGTGATGGCGATGATGACGGGGTGTGACGGTGTAGAGAGAGAGAGAGGTCTTTCAATCGTCTTTTGCTATCCAACAATCATGTATCGAGGACCAATGAGATGGACGAGACGGCGCGTGATTCCTTTACAACAAAATAAAAGAATGCCGCGGCGTTCTTTGTTCGGCCGTGCCCCGATAAACCGACAAAGTTTCGTCTTGCTCTCGCACGTCGGAATAGATGCAGTCAACGTCAAGACGTCACAACCATAGAAATGCTCCCCCAGCTTTTACCCCTGTCTAGTTCCCGTGCGGGGGAGAAAAGAGATCGTCGCAAGGGCAAGCAGCGGTGCAAAAGAATTGGCAAATGCTAGGTCCGTCGTCGCGCGTTGTTTCCCCCCTTCGAAGAAAAGGCGTGGGTGGTTGGTCGTGGGCGAGGCTGTGAGGGAAGGTTTTCCCAGGTTGCGCAAGGCTGAGAGAAATTGGGGGGGTCCTTGAGAAATTGTGGCAGTGCAAAAGGTACGTAACTTGTAGCTTATGAAATATCAACCCCAAAAAATGGAATGGGGAGGATTGGGATTGGTTGGAAGATGCTACAATGTGGAGGCCTGACCCTTTTCCCGATGACGGCGGCGCTTCATGCACAGCGATAAGATAAGAAGTTCCCCGTCGGGAATTGGGAAAACGGATGGAGACAAGGTACATGTATACATTAGATGGATCCATTGATGGACACTCCAAGCTGAGCTGAGGTCCATCCTGTATGTATGCAGACTTACACGACCTTTCAAGAAAAATGAAGCTTTTTTGAATAATCAGAGATAAACACAAACCTACAAGACAAAAATCAATCCAAGCTAGTAAGCTCTCGAACTAGATCACCATGTTTACTTTTTTTTTTTTACTGTCTACCTCCCCCGGCCCCAAGTTCGTCTCGCTTGGCCCAAGTTGCTCACACGCTGCTATCCGTGGTTGGACGCGGATACAGCCAGCCCTTTTCGCCCCCAGTTCATTGATTTACATCATAAATTGGGCATCAAGAGCCAGCTCTGCTTAATCTCGCTAACCATGTCCTGTTTCGTCCCGTCTGTTGACAACTGAATAAACTTTCAATAGGCCTTCCTGCGTCTGCAACCCGCACCCGCACCCTTTCAGCCCTCCGGACCTCACCAATGCAATGCCTGGACATCCATTCAATGCCACATCACCCGGCCCTTTAATCCCAGTCCAGCTGACCAAGAGTCCATACACCATCCATGGCAACCTCTTGGGATGCCCTCATCTCATCCCATCCCTTGGCTGTCTGTCTGTCTCGCCCGCAACCCAACTCCCTTGCATCTTAATCCTCCCTCACTCAAGTGACCCAGCCTCGGAGAATAATCTGCATTGGGCTGCGCACTGGCTTTTCTGTGACTGTCTGTCCGGCTCATCAACCAGATGAGCCGCCGCCTGAATTGACCAAGCCTGTTGGGCTGTTTCTTATCTTGACCCTCCCATGCCATGCCTTGCCATGCCTTGCCATGCCTTGCCATGCCTTGCCATGCCATTGCAATGGATGCCTCGTGTAGGTAGGTAGGTAATTGGAAATGCTCTTGACCGACAACTTGGTCAGCTATTCTTCTTTGCCCAGCCCGTGGTTCCCGCGATGCGGGTCTGTACCGACGCCAAATCTGACTCTCTGCCACCTTCGGGACGCACCAAAGATAACCAACTTGATCCTTCGTTCCCTTCCCTTGGTCCAGCTCCCACAAAGTTTGCAAGTTGTTGTCTCGTTGGCGGGTCGTCGAGAGAACAAGTCGAGTGAGTTCTGTCCAAGGTATGTATGTAGCCTCCCGCAACAACGTGCTGGAGCCCGTCCGGCATATACATCATGCGTTCTATCCTGTACTGCATATTGCCCAGTATAAAGCTGTGGCCACTCTCGGGTCAGACGAATTTCCAACTCCCGCCGCTGCCGCTTGTTATTGTTATTGTCGCCAGTGGTCTCACGATGCGTCATTTCAAGGGGTATGATACCCGAGTCCGGCATTCAATATTCAGCCCCGAACCATGAGCCGGAGGCTCGAGCCCCGACAACCTGTAGAGTGGATCGTCTTTGAAATGTCCCGTTGTTTCTTCGCCGCGGCCCGGCGGTATTTGATGCTGCTTTGCCATGGACATGGTGCATCAAGCTCGTGTGAACGGACGGTGCCTTGACGAGCCAGAACCTTGTCCGTACTTCCTTCGTTGATGCGATGACCCCCGTGCAGTGTCGCGTCTAGAAATTCTTTCGCGACTATTCGGGTCGCCTCCGCGTTGTTGCTGCAAGCTTAGATGCACGGGTCCGCTCGCCCTGGAGTTGTAAGTCCTCGGTGCCGTTATGTGTCACGATGCGCCGACAGCCATGTACTCCAAGGCAGTCTGCTTTTGTGCAATCAAATATCTCAGACTATATGTATCAGCTGGCCTTTGCCTGACCATAGATGTATCATGAGTTTCATGATCCGCCTTGTAATCAAACAGTGTCAGCCTGCGGCGGTCCTGAAGCATACCAGGTCCATGTCAACCACATGGATCGCCAACTTGTCATGTCCACTCGAGACAAACTCGAGACCAGACGAAGCTAAGAGAGCCGCTTGAATGCAGCCCGCTTCTAGCTCGTCCCGGGTTACCCGGAGCACCAGAGCTTAGTGACACGACGGCTCAGCTCGAGATGGATGGCCACCACGAGATGCCCTCACCCCTGCTGACTCTCTTACCCTACAATCCGATGCGACTTGACACTATAGTCAGCCATCCGTCCTTGGAATGCGCTGCCGTGACATGTCATCGGAGGAATATTGCGCGGGCGCCGCCTACCTGACCATCGGGATTGCTTCCCGGTTTCCTGAGTTGGCTATCGCATTAGCTTCAAGTCGCAACTAACCTCGACCAACGAGTACAGCCACGGATGCCATCCGGAGGCATCCACGGCCTTCCGCTCCATCAATTCTCGGCGCATTGTGGTAACACAACGTGGTCACCGGGCTGACTTCTCTGCTCACAACCTCGGCAAACCACCGTCCTGTTGTGGCCAATATTACCGAGCCCAACTGTCGTAAGAGTCCAGACGGACGCTTCAAACCAAGCATACAGTACCCATGTGGGCCACACCAACAATCCTTCAAGTTTCGAGTTCAAGCCTGATTGCTGGTCGCGAACTTCCGTCCAACGCTACAACTCACGGCCCGGCCCGCTGGGATACCCGGAAGTGACAGTGACACCTGCTCGGCCGTTTTCTTTCACACCGACTCAACAAGCCGTCGCTGGAACCGTTTGCAAGTTCCGCGCTCTTACCGTCCCCGTTGACCTTCCTGTTGTCGTATAGCACACTCTGCTGTTATCCTCCCTCAACATGCCCTTCCACCCCGCGCTGCACGGCTGCGTCCTGGTCCGTCACATGAGCCTATGCCGCCGCGAGATGAGATGGCACCCGGGGAGAGCTGCCAACTATTCCCAGCCAGAGGGGATGCACCACCCTTCGGCACCGCGCCGGACACCCCCGGCACCCGCCCGAAAGTTTGTATAGGCGGTGAGGAACAAAGCAATGACGAGTCCTATAGCCTGTCCCTATCTCACCGGCCCTTCGCAGCCATGACTGGTACGGAGTACAGATGCGTCGAGCGCTTGGATGCTCCACACCGTACCTGGTTCAACAGGCACACAAGGAAAGTCTTCCCTAATATTTCCCTCAAGTTGATGACGACAGGCATCTCCGGGGAGGCTTGTGTGAATCCCGGCCTCGCTCGAAGGAATGGAATGCATCTGGCACAAGCTGCCGTGAAAGACCTCGCCTGGCCATGACTCAAGGTACTGGACCCGAGCGCCGTTGGGTGGCAACGAATACCGGCTCTTAGACATGTTAGCACGGCCATTACCAGCCCTGCAGTAGAAACAGAAGCAGTTGAACGCGTACCCCATTGCGCCAACACTTGTGCGCAACGTCGCTCGACAATGATTGGAGAGAGCTAGTACACCGGAAGAGCAGAGCCAATAAACAACCTCAGTCGTCCTGTTGACCGAGACGTCTCAACACTGGCCATATCAGCATGTGCTCGCCCCAACTTGGGTATCTGGGCAATGGCAGCAAACACCCGACCAAGAGCTCCATGACTGGGACAGTGGCAATGATGATCAGCAATCAGAATAGTCGCCTTGCATTCAACCCGACATGGTCAAACCCAGAAGACGGAGCTGGGTGACATCCGTAGGCTTGGGACATTGGGCACACCGAACTGCAGACCCCGACATTTGCTTTGTTCCGAGACCAAGGAGCTAGCCGATAGAATGAGAGAAGAGAGAAAAGTAGATTGTCCAGTTGGACATCATGCATAAAGAGGTCTAAGCCTCCATGGGCCGAGTAGCGTGTGGCCGCTTCCACAACCATTCGCATTGCTTTTGTCAAGTCGGCGGCGCTGTGCCATGTCTTTCCAGGGAGGTGGAACAAGAGACATTGCAACAGCCGCAGCCGTTAGGGTGCTCGGGTGTCAAGAGTTCTACGTGCTTCTTCCTCGTGCCTTCGAGTACCACGACTTGAAGTAGACACTGCCTGACAAGGGTTCAGGGTCTCGCCTCGCCTCGCAGGGCGGCTTGCTAGACCGACCCGCGAGTGGGCTTCCGCAAGTTTGTGCCACAGTGCTGATATTCGAGACGAGTCTTGTTCGCCAAGACGGGTTGTTGTGATGGTCGAGCCTGCATGGCTGTTGGCTCATGTCGACAGTGTTTGCTCAAGTTCGCAATTGGAGCCCGGCAAGCACCAGGTTTCTCAAAACCCGCCCTGGTGATTAGTTAGTCCCAACTCTCCCTGGGCGTGATTGAGGCTGAAATCTTTGATGGGGGTTCCTGATGTGGGGGATCAACCCGAGTCCAGAGATCAATGTTTGGGGGTTTGGGATGTTGTGGGGAGTCTCCAGGATCTCCTCATGCCCGGTCAAGTAATACCACGGTCAGCGTCCCACCACGCATCCACCCAAATAGACAGCTCTGACACGGCGGCCACACACGT